CGACGCTCATTCAAACAAAACAAAAAATATTGGGCTTTGTGTTGTACTTTGGTTGAGTAATCTTGGAAATACGTCGTAAAACCCACGTTCTGAGAAAAACGCAAATCAATTTTTTTTGAAAAAAAAATTTCATGATGGTTAGTAGAAGTTAATGGAAATCATCAAAAATTTCGGTCAAAAATGGGGTGCCGAAGAAAAAACCAATAGTGTTTCTGAAAGACCAGAAAACGGGCTATCTCTCCATGTATTTATCTCGATTTCGAAATTTTTGACAAAAACTGACTTTTTTGAGGGGGAGGGGGGCCTTAAGGTAAGTGTTCGAAAGATTCAGTCATCGGTTCTGGTTTACATAATGATTTGCATAGTTCAATAACTGATGGCAGTAAATACATTTCAGTTTAATCGTTTCGTTTTTTGATAATACGGTGAATACATTTTATAAAGAATAGACACTGATTCAAACATTGTTTATTGTAGACTTTTCGTGAAACACTTTTCAGTGTGACAGAACGCAAAAAGTAAAATAAAGTTATTTTACTAAAACAACTGGACTGATATTATTATTGCTGTTAAATCAAATTAAATAAAAAGAACAACAAAAGAAAGTCTACTCATCGGCTTTGTTCGTATAAAAAAAAAGGTAAAGACGTTTATTCACAAAAGAGCTTTATTTTGAACGTGTTTTGATTAACATTAACAGACACACACTTTCGGAGCAGAAAGGAAATTTTGAAATTTTAGTAAAATAAATTTATTTTACTTTTTGTGTTCTGTCACATGTTGTTTTATATCTACTATAGATAGTTTAAACTAGTTTTACTTATTGTACATTTTTATTGATGATGTGAAAAGTGCTTCACGAAAAGTCTCCAATAAACAATGTTTAAATCAGTGTTTATAACTCTACTACACATCTCAATTTTCTTCAATATTCTTCGGATTGTTATCGATGCTGGTGGCTCCACAAAGTTATTGAAGACCAGTATCAAAGACTTAAAGAGAAAAAGTGCGTATAACTATGAAATACCACATCGCAGAACGGAAAGGAACTACGGTATTCTAGTACAACATCAACAACCCGTGAAAAACCTTAAATCTTTGAAAAACAAGACAAAGTCGGTTCTATGCATCCCACGCGACAAAAACTAGACAAAATATCGGAAATATCAATTTTAATGAAAAATAAGCTAAAATTTATCTGAAATTTTCTCGAAAACATTATGAAATCCGCTCAAAATCCTTTTTAACATATTCAAAATCACCGAGTTTTGTTGAACACTTCAAGTTCTATCGATAACCACATCTTAAAATTCCATTACATGCTTTTTTGTTAAAAAGGCTGAAAAAGGTGAAATATAAGTTTTAGCATGTGAGTTTTTGAAAACCTATTAGAAAACCGTTTTTATCCAAGGTCTGGAAGTCACCAACTGTCGAGATTTTCGCTCTCTATTTAAGCATGACCTAAAAAATGTTTCAAAAATGTTCCCCGCTTGTGAACGCGGGGAGCGCAGTTTTAAAAAAGTTGAGAGTTCAAGTTTTAAAATTTAAATAAAATTTAATCAATTTAAGATCTTCGCGAGCTCTCTGCGATGTTTCATTACCGAGAAACCTTGCAGCTACGAAATGGTGTTAAGGTGAAAGTTGCTTTCGAGGTATTCGGTGACGCCAGTATCTGATACATGCTGGTCGTAAATCTTTTTTTTTAAATGGAGTCCATTCAATTCTAAATAAACACCTGATTTGCAATATTTTTAGTGACAAGTGTTTCTTTTAGAAATATTATTTTCTGTAAAGTGATGCGAGACATGGTTTCCTGGAAACCCTACTTTCAGCACTATTCAAATCATTTCAAGTGAGCAATTGGAAGGAGCACCGCTCAAAACCCTTCAGTACTAAGATTTACAAATTTATTGGTTCTTCATTACATTTGGTTCTGTATAAATTCAAAACTTTCTCGTGTTACACGCCTATTAGTGAGAGATGAGTTTTGTTTCCTGTTCGCACTTATACTTGGACATTGCTAAAAAGTAGTTGACTGAGCGTTCTTTTCAACCCTATACTAGACATAAAGAACGGACAAGGTGAAGATTATTACTTCTAGATGGGTAAGAATCTGGAAACCAACGGAAACTGTGAACTGTAATAAAAGAAAAATGCATGAGAAGGCACTGAACTCTAATGTTCACAATTCATACAAGATTACCCAGGACAGACAGCTGGCATAACAATCGTATCCAAAGGAGTGTACCTTATCCGGTGAAAAACCACTTTTATCTCTATCCAAACCCATTGAATTATTCGTTCAAACTAACCAGGAAATCCCAGTTTCCAGACTAATAAACGTCGGCAAGTAGTTTAAGATTATTTTTGTTACAAGCTAGAAAATTTGCATTTTTTTGTATTTCAATTTTAGCGCATAAAAAATACTTAAAAATTTTTAAAAAATCCATTTCTTTTTTATATTTTTTTTTATTCTTATAATGTTGAGATGAGACTTCATGGAATAGTTGACTATGTTGCAAACTTTTTCTAAGAGAATTAAAAACTTAGACAAATGTGGATGAGCTTAATTTATTCGAATTAGACCAATAGAATTGAAATATAAAAAACTACAAAAAAGACAAAAAGCAAGTTAAAACTCAGGGCTCGTGATAAGAAAAATTGTTTTATATCGAAATTATCCTAAAACTCTAGGATATTTTGTCATGCTAGGGAGGATCTGTAATTTCATCAATATATAGCTTTTACATCGATATAAGTTTTCCGTTTTCGATATAAGCATTCCGTTAGTTATTTAATATTTCACTTTATGTATGACCGCGCAAGATTTCAATAAAATCGATCTAGGACTAAGCCATATTTCTCTTTCGTTTTCGTATCCCTACCTCTCACAGTGTTATATTCCGATAAGTTTAAAAATACTTTTTTGTAACATCCATGTTTTGTTAGCTGAACTTAATTTGGAGTGATTTGACTGGTTTCGAAGCTTTTCTATCGGGAATAAACATCCATAAAGCTGTCATGTTTGTTACAGTCGAACGTTTTATTAACTGATATTGTTGGAATTCACAGAATTCCATTTCCTCAGCATTTTTTTTCATTTGATATGCAAACTTTAAATAGGGTTCCAAATCTTCTTTTGTGTATTGAAACCGTTTTCGCTTTGACGATATGCGAGTTTTATCGATAAAATATTTTGCTAGCTGAAGGCGTCGTTTAACCATTTTTGTTGGGTCATCTAGTTCGGTTCGACGTCTCATTTCGTCCTCAGATTTCATTTCCGTTCCGATTTTTCCGTCCACTGTTGTCCAAACATAGTCTGCTTCATTTATGTGAGTCTTGAAAGTTGACTGATGATTTCTAGATACTAGTTTCTGAAAATAATCATCATTTTCTGCATGTGTCATATTGAGAACTGTACCGCTCTCTATGGGCGCCGTCCAGACATATTCTCCGTCGATTATGTCCGTAATGAATTTTTCTTGATTTTTCCTTGATATTTTTGTTGAATTGGTATAGTCGCGTAGATCATCTAGATTTTTGCTAATATGATCAGGTAATTGAAATGCGGCATCATTAACATCACCAGTTGTCGAAAAAGGTGCAATATTTCCCATTGTTACTGATGGAGGATTTTTAAGCCAATTTTGAATGCACAATAGAGAGGACTGAGAGGGTTGTAACAGTAGTGAAGAATATGAATTCTTGTCATGTTTATGTACATCACCATTCAGTGCCAAATCTGAATATTCTTGGATGATCTCTTCTAGTAAAATTCTATCTTTATCATTGAAATCTTTTTCCCTTGCTCTTTGTATTTCGAGATTTTTTTGACAATTTAATTTTCTTACTTCTTTTTGTATTTCTTCTTCATCTTTATCAATTTTGAAGAAAAAGGTTGTTTCTTTTTGTTCGGTAGCAGCAGCTGAAGTAATAATGGTGGTAGCAATACCAGATTTTGTATAACGAGACTATAGAAGAAAATGAATAGAATTTGACTCAAATGTCGGTTTTACTTCAGCCCGATGGCTGATAGTAGAAACTAACAAAAACAACTCAAAATTTCACTACTCTTTCTTCCATTGAACTAGCTTTAAATTTAAAATCCTGTAACTCATAAAAAATGCTCTCTATAAAAGGGTAATTCTAGTGAGCTAATGGATATGCAGAGCGCCATTTCCATGTCTTTGTTTACCAGTGGCGGCGTGTTAGGAGGTCATCTTCAGCTCAGGATATTATTGCTGTTCCCAGGTCAAATAATCCTACTACGTTCCTACTGATAATAGGATTTCATAGAATTCCTGTTGTAGGATCTTATAAAATCTCACAGGAGGAATCCTATAGGTTTCTTGATATAGGACGTTATGTCGTATTAATTCTTTGTGGATGTATAAAATTGGAATCTGGCCGCATTTTGAAGATGTGCTTCTTACACGAAAATTTTTCATCAACAAAGAAAAATGAGACTATCTTGAAGGCACAATGGATGCAAGTTTTTCAAAAATGCGTACAATTTTTTCATAGTGGAAGAATATTATCGTGAAACTTACAGGCGAAATCAGAGATACAATCGAATCGCGCGACTGACCGATCGATCTCGGTCAGTTTAGGTTCCGATCTGGTTGAGACTTATCAACCGGCCCAATTGATTGGTCCTGGTCAGATCGCTGACCCGGGCTCGATCAGCTTATAACTGGAAAATATACTCGAAAAAAAGTAGATTCAGCAGCATTTCGCAGCAATTTGCAGATTTTACTTACTATTTCAACAATTAATTTATCGTACTCTAAGTTAAAGTTGTCGTCCGAGCCAAAAAGTTTAAAAATTGTTTTTGTTGTTCGGATAGTACTTGTCAACCAATTTTTCATCACGTAATTGTTAACTTTGGCCGGTATCATCACTTTTCCTGAAGTCTGATGTGCATATTTGGCTTCATTCTGACAGTTAACATTCGTGTAATATTCTTCACTTAAACAAAGTAGAACACAATCGGATTGATCAATTGCTTTTCTCGTCACTGACTCAGTTAAAGTTTTATCTCGATCGATCCAAAGTGTAAAACCGTCACTCATCAAACGATCAGCTAAAGGATGACAGACATCTTTGTCCGAATAACAATAACTTATCATTAAATTGTAGTGATCAGTGGCTGTTGTTGCGTTTGATAATGAACAATTTTGTACTGATGTTTTTTGTTTTAGAATTTCCAAAGTTAAATCATATTTGCATTCGGCTTCCTTAACGGCGTTAATCGGGCCACTTAATCGCATTTGCTGTTGATTAATATCAAATGTAGGCAATACATATTGGTCCAAACAATATTTATAAAAAGTATTTATTGTCGATTGATTCCAAGTTTTAAAATTGTCTTCATTCTTCCGTTTCTTGGTAAAAATACACCGTTTAATACGTTTAGTGATTTGCTCTTGACATCTGTCGATATTTTCGTTGGTTGATGACCTAAGAGTGATTTTGATAGCTTAAAAAAAAAGGAAAATGATATTTTTTATACAACGGTATAAGAAATTGTTACATTCTCTTTGATGTCAATCCATAAAAGCAAGGTAAAACTTTACCCTCACGGTATTAAAAACAGTTTCATGACCACTTAACAGACAGCTTGATGCCTCGTCTTATCATAGAGTCCGACGGGATCGAATGATCCCGTGAGATCAGCATCGGGACTGGAGGAAAGAATTTGACGGGATCGGGATCAAGTTCATGTGACTGAATCGGAATATTTCTTTTTCCAATTATTGGAACTATGTTTCATTATCACAAAAAATAAAAAATAAATAAAAAGTTTTTTACGATTTAACAGGATCATAATTAAAGTTACGCGACGGGATCTGAATAGGGATTGAAGAAAAGATTTTTTCGGGATTTTGACGAAAGAACTTAATCCCGCACGACTCTAGTTATCACCCAGTTAGGGAGACTTTGTATCGCCAGAAAGTAGCAACACGAATACGGAGTTAAGTTTTAGGAGGGTAATGCAGTCTTTCGATCACATCCAAAATTTTAATCCTATTATAACTAAGAAGTAGGGGTCGATAATCTGTCTGAGGGATTGAAAAATTTAGTTAGTTATTTGAAAAAGTTTTCCGAAAACAAACTTGACACGCATCTTTTCTTAAAAGAATTTGACATAGATATTTTTCCTAAAATCGCATGCATTTTTCCTCTTCATGTAGTGCAGCCGTAGAAATGATTTACATTTATTTTGAAATTGTATTTTTTCTTTTGTCCTATATTTCTACGGCATAACAGCCTATCGAATTTTATTTTTGAGCATTAAGATAAATTTTGGCGTAATTTTAATTTTCCATCTAGCAAAATTTTCCCAATTTGTCAGGCGCGCCGACGGTCACGTTATTGACCTCCTGTCGAAAATCCTCAGTCCTTTTGGCTGAGTAATGTTAGATCTAAGCGCGTATAAATCCATATATCCTTACTTGATGTTGGATAATAAAATTGCGCATAACCATCTTGTTGTGTTTGTAAGGATTGTATTTTAGACGAATAATGTTTATACAACTCCTGTTTATCAAGTGATAGAACGAACAAAATACTTAAAGGAGCGCTTGTCGTTTCTAGTTGACGTTTTGCTTCGTTAATCATTGTTTCGGCAATAAATTTATTTTCAACATCATCACCTTTGATGGGTGCTTCAAATGCAATTGATAATTTTGTTTCGCTATCCTTTACGTCTTTTGTAATATGCTGAATACACTCTGAAATATAATTCTGTGCATCATTTACTAAGAACGACGGTGTCCGGTTTAGAAGTAAAATTTTTCCACAGGATAGATTTCCAGCTGTTGTTTCAATTAACTGATTGACTTCCCCTATTTTGTCGACAGCACTAAGATATTCTGATTGGATTCTATCATCACAAGTGTATTTCATAACAGAATCACGTAATAATTCTGATGATACAACAATAAAATTTACCTATAAAGAGCAAACAAGAAAGATCTCACAAAACTTTATATAATGGAGAACTCGAACCTTTTGAGCTGTTAAATCGCCTCTATGAATTTCAATTGAACCGTTGTGTACACTTGCTTTCATAAATACCAATGGTGAGTTGTAAAAGACATCCGATTGTTCGATATTGTCATCTACCGTTACTTTTGGTATGGTAAATATTTTGTCGAATGTTTGCACTTCAATTTCACTTCGACAATGGTATCTCCTTGCAGTAGCAGCCAAACGCACCATCTCTCTGTCAACAACTGTTGAACATATTTCTGCTCGATAATCATATGTTATGGCAGCGAATTGTAATATTAATTCACCGAGACGATATTCAATTTGATCTTTCAAATACTCTGGGGCCAAAAATTCTCCATTATGTATATTGTTTATTATGTCCACACAGTCATCAGCATATTCTTTTTCAATATCTCTTAGTTCTTGTAGACAGATAGTCAAAAGATAATTTATCTAAAGTTCAATATTAATCTATTTTAACAGCATCGCGTAGATGTTTCATTTTCTTACTTGTATAGAATCTAGTTCAGTTTTAAACGTTCTGAACGGTTTGAAATAATATACGTGAAACTCTGCCTAGAATTATATTTCAAGAAAAAGCGATAAAAACAGCCCAAAAGCTAGAACGTTGAAATATAGTCATCAAATTTTGTTTGATATTATTTCAACAAAAACATCGTATGTTCAACTTACTTTGAATAGTTTTAATTGATATTTGTTGATTAATTTTTCCAATTGTTTTTTTAATTGTACTACCACGAGTTTTGGACCAAATACCTGAATTTCATTTTCTTCAGTACTATAAAGCGTCACTTTATTTGCTTTCTTCCATAACAAATCATTGATTTCTCTTGGTAATCGTTTTGCAGTATTTTTATCTGGCAGACTAATTCTATCTAACAGAAAACCTTTGGTAATCATTTTGTCTAGTTTCGATTCCAAAATCTTGAATGGTCCAGTTTTGAAGTAGTACACAACAAAATTGCCATCGTTATCGTATTCACAAACTATAAATTGACGATTAGATTCCATTGATCTTTGTATAACTCTAGCTGCAAAAGGTACGTCTACCCAATGGGTAACTGAAAGAGAAAATAACGAAATTATACAAAATTGAAATGGTGCGGTTAAAGTTTGTTCACGTACTTAGTCCTTCATTATAGATTTTTCTGTCCAGTTTTTCAAATAAAGTTTTTATTTTATTACGAGTCAGTTGAACAGGTTCTTCTTCACCCACTAATCGAATGTCACATTGTTCTCCTTCTTCTTGAACTTCTATGTGGACCGATATATTTAAACATTGCTTGAAGCTATGACAAAATACTGGATTTCGAAAAAATTCCGAACGGATACGATCATCGGCTAAATAGTTTCCTAGTTCTTTGACCAATTTTGGTGACTCCATTTGCACCATCATCGCTTTTCCTGTCGCCATTCGCACCTTCATCAATTCTGGTGACTTCATTTTTCATCTAGAAAATACATAAAATACGATAACAGTTTTTTCAGGTACACTCTTACTTTTCTTATGGTTCCCTTTAAGAATTGTTCACGAAAATTATGTTCTCATTCAAAAACAATCATTTCTACTTGAAATTTGCTAAAGATGAATATATATATATATAGAGAGACAAAAAAAAAAGCATTTTACTCTTTCTTTCCTCTATAGCTAAGTATGTGATTCACGAATTGACGACAGTCAAAAAGAAGTAAACACCTCACCTATGTAGAGTTTCTTTTACAATTTTAAAAGATAGCTAACTGATTTTTTCAGAGCATGTGCGTCATAATGAATTAGAACTGTATGATGAATGCTTCAAAAAAACAATGATAATCATTGAACGGTTTTCAAGTATTTTTTGCGATGACATGATGCAAGGTCGGTATCATTATGAGTTTATAATCATCGGTTCGTGAATCACAAGTTATACTTCGCTATTGAAGAAAGAAAGAAAGAAAGAAAGAAAGAATAAAATACTTTTTTTTGTTTCTGTATATATATCTTTTCAGGATAGATGACTTGTTGTTACTCAAAGAAATGGAGGACGTCGAAAGTGAATGAAAAAAATAACAGAAACGTTACTTGATTTTTTTTACTGTATAAGCCAATTCTATGTTGAAAGTTCAGTGATTCTCGTGTAAGTACGCGTTTCTTTGTTTCGTGTCTGGTACAATGAACTCCCTTGCACGATTACACGTACATGTATCTGCATAAGCATTCTGGTACAAACCTTTACAAAAGAGAGTCAGCGCGGCCAGTTACCTATGTCTGAAGTTTATTTTCGGTCAGACCGGTGAAGGAATCTGTAAACGTGAGGATAAACATAAGAAAGCCTTTGTTGAGCAAGGCTTTTCGAGAATTGCTCAATACTGGCTCTACAAGGGACATAATAACAATTGAAACTCAAAAGCGTTGTCGATTGAATCTAATGCAACAAAATGGGTAATAAAAGAGAGTTTATTAAGGGTACCCTCCCCTATTTCTGAGCTTTCCGTAGAAATGCTGTGAAATAAAAACTAAAAGTCGCTAGAGCTTCGTATTTTCAGAACTGATTGGAAACTCAGTGGAGCACGTTTTCGTTTTTGTTTCGAGTTTTCAACTGCTGCCGTTCACCAGTTTTTTCGTTGTGCCACATTACGACCCCCCTTAAATTTCATCCGATCAAGTTCAAAATTTTACCGCAGGTACTCAATATCATTCCGCAGAGGTAGTTTTGGAGAAATTTTTTTGAAAGCTTTCCTGGTCGAGTTATAGGAAAAATACTGAAAAGCGTCTCAAAAACCAAGTTTTTCAATTTTAGAAACTCTATAAGTCGGTAAAGAAAAGTCTAAAATAAAATTCCAAAAAGTTATCTCTGCAATAGTGTCTTGAGTACCTTTTAACTCGATTAGATGAAATTTAAAGGGGCTCGTAATGTGGCACAATGAAGCCAAGTAGCAAAAATTTGAGAAAAAACGCATTTTGTACGTAGGCCACTTTTTTCGGAGCATTTGCTGTGATGCTTATATCTCCGCGAAAACTCATCGGAAAATTAAAAGTAAAACATCTCATTGTGAAGAAAACACTTTCTTCTATCAGACTATGTGTAACAAAAATTTTAGGTGTACAGAAGATGAGAGAAAAGTTTATGAAACTAAAAAATTGAGCTTTTTTAGGTTTTGAAGGAAAAATTTCAAAAATCCAAAACTTGTAACCATAACTTAAAAAAATGTAAAAATATTAAAGTGGGTTAGACGCTGCAGCTAATTACGCTAATTTCGGTACCCATTGCAGCTAGTTGCATAAACGTACAAATCATGGAACGGGCGCTATAACGGCAGCTCAAGCTAGTAACGAATTGGCTGCACGATTTTCAGCTAGTTGAAGCTAGTTGGCAATCGGATACAGTAGCTTGATGAAGAAAGCATTTCTCAGGGTTGAACCTAGAGGAATAGTATGTAAAATTTAATTTTCAACACGTTTTCCTCTTAGCAGGAAATTTGGGAAAAGCTTCCTTCTGGGTGAAAATGCGATTTTTTATAATTATTTTTGATTTATTGCTAGGAGAAGTGTTTTTGAACATTGTGTTTAGACGCAAACGTATTAGAAATTAAATTTTACATACTATTATCTCCAGGTTCAACTCTGAGAAATGCTTCCTTCATGGTGAATAATCTTAATTACATTAATCTAATTTAACTTCTTCAAGTTCAACTCGCTAATTAGTCAGAACAGAACGAAGAATATATATTTTTAGTTGTGTGTTCTTGTGGTACAGTGGCGTAAGGAGAAGATTATTAATCTGTATATACAGAGTTCGAATCTCTGCGGGAATTTCTGTGTTGTTTTATTTTCCTTTCATTGTTTTCATTCAGTGTACATATATAGCCGCTGCAGCTAGTACTACAACAGGTTAGCAGATTTGTCCCTCTGCGGCTAGCTGCACCCGCTAAATTTTACTCTTTTAGCTGGCTGGAGAAGCGGACGCTTCTTCAGCAAGTGCAGCTAGCTTATTTCTTATGAATTCCATGCTTAGGTAGGTCCAAATTCGAAAGGTGGTTGGACGATATTTATTTCGTGCCGTATAGCTTTCTAGTATGAATCTTCGGAAACCAGGTCTCTAGGAATCTACCCTGAATAATTGAATGAAGAGATTCTGATATGGCGAATTTGTAGAGAAATTTAAATTAAACAGGTAGACAAGTTCTCTCAGAGATACAAAAGTTTTAATGTAAGAAAAACTATTGTCTATAATTTTAAGGAGCGATGAAAGTAAAAATTTTATATCTCTAAGAGAACTTGTTCGGTATATCTCAAACCTTGTGCAGTTGTGTAATTTAACTTGCTCCACAAAGTGACCATATCAGAATCTTTTTATTATTCATGATTCATGAATTATTCATGATGCATTTCCAGAGACATGATTTCTGGACATCCAGATTAGAAAGCCATACGGGCCAAGATGAATATCAGCATCGAAAATAACCCATGACAAAATACATCTTGGTTAAATCGAGATTTGTCGCTTGGGACGGTTCACCCGCAGGTTTGCCCTAGAATCACTTTGTAACTTACCGAGATATAATCTGGACCAACTTTGTTGTGCAACACGTCTATTGGAGACAAAAGGCTGGTGATGTGAACCCTCTTATGCCTCCTCAACGGACATTAGGAATAAGAAAAACAGGGCAAGCTATGCCCTTCACTGAAATTTGTTCGTGAAAGTGGATACCAGACTAGTCGTGCCAAAAACAGGAAAAGGTTTCACAGTGTCGTCTTATGTAAATTCTATCGAATAATACCCTCGTTCTCTTTTAGATTTTTTCCACAAAAGTTGTAGTTGCTTATTTACTGGCAATGAGAACGAAGCAAGCAGACATTACTGATCAAACAGAGCAACAAACTTTAGATGTTTCTTCTAGTAATAATCTAATACATGTGCAAAGAGAAAAACCTCCGATTGTCGTTATCATCTTTGATGAAGATGAAGATGAAGATGAGAAAATCCAAATATTCGTTCCACTTACTCTTGAAGAAAAACAAAAACGTGAACATATGAAAACGAAAAATTTCGAGACACAAATGCAAATGGATGCGACGTTTATTACTAATATGGAAAAGTTAATAAGCGAAAGGATTGACGAAAATGGTAAGGAGGTTGATGTTGCAGAAATTCAAGGATGGCTAGAAAAATATCGCGAGGGATCCGTGAAAAATGTTGCACCCCAAACAATGAGTGGAGATATTAACGATGCCATATTCCCAATACGAGAAAAAAACTTAAAACAAATTCTTAGCACACAGCGTGGACGATTTGCAACTGGTTCTACTGGGTTGAGTAATTGTGAAGATTATGTGCACCGTTGCAGCAAACATCAATCTAACAACAAGACCAAACAGGAGAACGATAACCTCTATGGTGTAACTACGCCATCATTTACACAAGAAGATGCCAACAAATATTTTAGAACTATTCTCGAAAATCGAGTATCACCATTTGCAATGGAAGAATCAATAACTGTTAGTACGCCGATTTCTAATGGTAGAAATTCTTGGAGAATGATCAAAGGATCAATTGGACCAGCAACTAGAACGGAAGAAGAAATGAAACGGCGACTCTCACTTGAGGATCCAATGAAAATGTTGAAACGACGAAACAAATTGGCAAAATATTTTATAGAAAAATATCATTTTTCAAAAGAAACTTTAGAAACCTATTTAAAATTTGCTCAACTGATGAAGAAAAATGCTGATGAACTTATGGAACTCTGTATGCAAACAGAAGAAAAAACCTATTTAACAATATGAACTTTCGAAAAACGTCCAGTATACCGATCAACAAGAAAGATATGCGAGTGAGCATTGTCTTCTACTTCCTACATATACAGGGAATCTATAATGATAATGATTATGATTATCTTAAGATTGTACAGCTTAAAAGTTCCATTAAAAATTACAAAAACGCAAGAAATCAGGAATCAAGCTTTATCAGGACGTAGGGATAAAAGTTTACTTCACCAAACAAAACTACTTTTACTTTCCTATGTGATTGCTAGTGTTTGGAAATCTTTAAAGAAAATCGCGTTTTTCACACCTAGGATTTGGTAAAAAAAGGAAAGGATTGAAGGTATAGATCTGAAATTTTTATCTTAAGTATTATTTCTTACGTGAAGTATTGTAGTTAAGTGTTATTTAATAAACCTTGAAAATTTCATCGAGATTGAGTGTTTCAGAACGAAAGTCTTTCTGCTAGGACGGGATTGGGTGAGGGTACAAGGAGAAAACGTTGAATTTAGTCCGTTAACTTCAACTGTTCAAATTCATGTAAGGTCATCCAAATTCACGTAAATTCCTAAAAGTAAAGGAAACTTTACTTTAATTGAACGAGAGTTACAGAGAGAGATGCTAGTTAACCTTCGAAAATGAAGGTATGGGTACTACGGAGAACATTCGTCTAGCAGCATCTGGCTTTCTCTCCTTTCTACTACAGGCGTCAAAACTCAAAGCCCTTTGTTGTTGTCCAAATAACTCAAAACGATAAAAGATAGGGACTTGCGATTTTTAACAATCGAAAGAAGTCAGTTTAGCCTATGTTTTCATAAGCAAAACATTTTTGCGGAACCATTAGGAAGACTATTTTTCTAGGATATCTTTGAAAAACCACTTCGGATCTCTGGAAACTGAGATAGAAATCCGGCAGTTTTTTTTATAGATATAGAGTTCCAAGTGTCCTCTCCAAATCGAAACTAAGCTAACTCTTAATTTTTCCTGGTTCACGCGTGGCATCGGATTTCGTGAGAGTCCAGGATCAATATTTCTTTGGGTGTGGTAATTTCGAAAATAGATGGAAACATAGGTAATCGACCACGCTGAATCTCGTGGCAATATTTGTTTTTCAAAACAGTTTCAAAAACCTAGTGAAAAAACCTATATTAGGTGAAATAATTTATTTTTGT